AGATGGCGTCGCTTTGTTATTTTCTAGTTTCATCGTATTGCTCAGTACTTTTTACCCTTTGAACATGTAATCAAGGCAGTATTTCGAGCTTTTTGATATTTTCTCCAGCTGCTGAACATACTTTACAGCGAGATATGGAAGAAAATTCACGAAGAGGACTTAAAACAAACACGAAAGGATCAGCCTGTTTGCAAGAAAAAGCTTGGAAACTATAACAAATGTGAGTTTTCTAATTTCTTCCTGTTTCAATGGCCCAAAGTGATTATTAGTGTTTTGGTTACATGGATGATAGTAGACTGTAATTTGGTTGTCAGAGTTGTTCTGTCGTTTTAGTTGTGCGCTGTAGATCAAAATGCGCGATTTTTTGCTCGTTTGCAGACACTGAGTTTAGGTCAGATAAAATAAGAAAATTTTAGTCTTGTCCGTGGCTGCTTAACAAATCTCATGGGTTTACAAAGTAGTTCTGTGATGTATTGTATCACATGCAAAAATTAAACTTCGCTCGTTAACTTTTGAGGGTTCTGTGAGTTTCAGAAAATGGTGAAAATTTGCTTATAAAAATGGCGTTCGAGGGGGTCGAATAAAGTGATGCTCGTATCTCTAATACAAGAGCAGTGAAGAACCTATGTTTGGTATATTTGTCCAATACTCCACCAGAACTATCTGTGATGTTAGTATGAACTTATTCTGTTGACCCCCTTCCGTTGACATTTTTAACATTTTGCCCGGTTTTCTCTGACAACCACTCTTAAATGATGATAGTAAAAATGATGTCCGTTTTACCTCAAATGTATTATTTTAAACTTTTAATTAATTGAAACATCAGAAGGCTTTTTTCAAAGCTAAACGATTTTTAGGGCGTTTACTTTCAAACGTTTTTATTCTTTTCATGCATGATTCACTGCCACTGAGCATTTTTATTAAAATCAGCAGATAACGAGTCCTTAAGCTAGGAAACTCACTTACAAATTAGTAGTTGTTGTTGGTATACACTTCCAAATATATGTAGCATTGCCTCCACTGCAGTCATGATCGTTGGTTACTTGCCCAGCACCATTCATAAAACCCCTGCTTCGACATAAATGCCTGCAATCTGCGAGGTCAATGCACCTTGTCTCAGGTAAATAGCGACAAGTGAAAAGCAAGGGCAGAATTTTAAACAAAATGTGTTTATTAAATTACGCTATAAACTACTATGTTGAAAACGTCTTCTCTGCTTTGAAAAAATACACCATCAGTGCGTTCAGTTCAAAAGCAACACAGTTGACTCGTTCGATCAGGAAAGACGCTGAATATGAGCAAAAAATAACACAGGTATCACAGGGTAGTGCTGAAATATGGTTCGACATATTAACATGTTAACTTGAGACAAAACCCTACCCATGACGTTAACGTCCACCGTTTTGGAGCTATTTCCTGCATCATTTTTGGCCAGAATTGTGTAGTTTCCCGTCTGAGTGAATTTAAGTCGTTTTACCACTGCTCCACCGTCCAAACGTGTAGATGAGTTGGCTAACCTAGCTTGAATGGGTGGGGTGCCTTCCACCATGAACCAGGTATAATGCTTTGGTACACTACGTACCACTGACAACAGAATCCTTATCTTCGGCATATCTATAAATTGAAATAAGAAATGCTCGTCTTTAATGGCGAAGAAAGTTATGCTTTTCCCTATGAAATGAGTGACTGACTTTTGGAGACATCCGTTGTGTTAAAATAATTGACAAGGAACATGGGCAAACTCATTACGTCTTGCCTTCGAGAAAGAATTATTACGGAGACCAGGTGAGATACTTAACGCTGTGTAGAACATGCTTTAGAAAATTCAGTGGCGTATGTGACCTAGCGGTTAACACCTCAAACTAATTTTGCAGTCTACAAAGTCAAACTCCCCTTTGCGTGTTGTGTATTTTAATTCCGTTAAATGTGCGCTAGACTTCAACTACAATTATCAACGCAACAGCAAAAAGAACGTAATAACAATATATATATTACAAAAAGGCTAAGTCATTTTGGCAAAGTTACGATGTCTGTCGGTAAAATAATCGAAGAATTGCTTTTCGGTGAGAATGAAAAAAAGAGTTAATTTGTAAACACAGGCGCAAATCACACGCCATGCTTTTTATTCAAGACAGCAAGTCAGAGTGACTGAAATGCTTCTGAAGACTTGTGTTTTCTTTGTGTTTGTTAGTTTGTTTTTTAGCGGGCTTGGCGTTAAAAAGGATAAACGAGCCTCAAAGCAGGACTGTAGCTGATTACCCTTACGTTTTCTGGCCATCACCAGAACTGGGTATTTTCTTAAAAATTTTTCTCTCCATTTGCGACCAAAAAATTAATTTAAGCTGGTGTATAATATTAACGCGAGGCCATTGAAATCGTCTCTCGGACTGAAGTCTTTAATACATGTCATGACATCAATTAATATTATTATTCATTCAAAATATTTCCACGATTCTGATTGGCTAAAAGCACACGCATAACTCACCATAACCAATTTCTGATCACCAAATTTGGAAGAATTTTGTGTTTAACGAGGAAATGACGTCACAAATGCAGCGTTCGTGCAGGTTAAGGCACCGTTAACCGAGAAGACCTGGGGACGGATAACACCCTCCTCGATCTCCATAATTCGTCATACGATACTCAGCCTCATTCATTAATTGTTAAATAATTACGCCCCTGATTTACAACAAAAGAATTATAACCGTGGTGAGAAAATGAGAAATGTTAGCGGCCAGTAAGGTGAAAATGAGCGGCAGTGAAAAAGAAAGCGAAAACATAGAAAGTTTCAAGTTAAAGTGGTAGAACAACAACGGCAAAGAAATATACAAAAAAGTGTTTTCACGTGCAAAGTTGTTTTTTTGCTAATTAGACCTATTGTTGTTGCTATTATTGTTGTTGTTGTTGTTGTTGTTGTTTTTGCCGTTCTCAATGCCGTCGCCGTTTAGCATTACACGATTTTGTGAGTAAACTGCATATATAAGTATAGTAACGAGAGATTCGCTTTTAGCCCTGGCTAAATCTATTTATTATTTCATTCTGTGGTAGCTCTACCATTAAGAACACGATAATTTTAAAACAGTAGGTAAGTGAAATGACAAAAAGGCTTCAGTCGCTGGCAAGTAGTCTGTCGGCGAACAAATTTCTAGATGCTTCATCAGTTTTCCCCCATTAATTCAACTGTCCAACTTTTGACCAGGGGTGGGACGGGAGAGACTAGGTTGCTCCTGGAGCGTGACCAAAAGCGTGATCAAGCAAAAAGCAACGCCTTAGAAATTTCGTCCTCAAAATTTTGTCATCAGTTGAGCTCAAGAAAAATCAATCTGGATTTTTTACTCGAGCAAACACGTTGGTTGAACATAAAAATGGTTGATTTTGGGCCAAAACGAAACGCTTTCCCACCCTACTGAGTTTTTTTTTTACACCTACCCTCAGAGTCTGTATAGACGGTCGGCGTTCGATGGTACGCTGACGTCATAACTAAATTTTCTCGGATCCATAGGTTTCCCCAATGGGCCATTTCCGAGTTTCCCCGGGCCTCTGTTTCAAAACGAGGGTAGGTGCTCAGCCTTTGATATAGAAATCATTTTTTATTCTCTTGCAAATAAAACTCATTTTCACAAGAAAGGTTGTTCACCTAGCCTCATTTTGAAAGTGAGGGTTTTTGGAACTCGGAAGTGGCCTATTTTCTTCAGGTCTTAGGTTTCGCTCCGCACGCTCGGACGGTCCGCTATTCATTCTCGACCCCAGTGCTTACGCTTCTGACTCCGTGCATAAGGTCTGGGAAACTCTGCGCCGGCATAGCCAATATCTATTCATTCTATTTGGGCCCCACAGCGCATGCTCTTCTATCTAACAAACTTTGCTTCGAGTGTACTCTACATCTACTTCATTGCAAAGTGTTGTGCTCCTTCGAAATTATAACTGAAGAAAGGATGCCTTTCAAGAATTTTTGAGGTACTTAACCCCTTAACTACTGAAAAATTAACGCTTAACATTCAAAGATTTGAGATTTGAAATTTGCATATGCTCGACAGTCGATTATATTTGCGTGGACCACTTGACGAGGCGGTAAGTGAAACCCGAATGGCTTGTAAAGATAAACGTATGATTATTCCAATAAAATTATCCATATTATGAATTAATCGTATCTTTTATTTGTTTGTTCATGCATATTAGACTGATTTAGCAACAGAACGGGAACGTCATTGGACGACGGGAAAGCGCGCGAAAAGGAGTAAACTCGACTTCCGGTTCCCAATTTCTCGCTTTGCCATTGGTCAAGTCGTTTGTTTGATTTGCACGCGCCGTCGTCAAATGACGTTTCCGTTCTGTTGCTAAATCAGCCTAAAAACGTTTCAGTAAAGCTACTTTGAAATGTGATATTGTGGGAAACGAATACAACTATAATTATGCAGGTCTATTCTAGTGGCATTGTACACGCACAGAAGCATATATTCTTCTGACAAGCATCACCGATATATTTATATATTCTATTTACCTTTTACTTGCAAGTCTGTTTTTTGACAATTTACCAGGTGAAGCTAATGTTTTCATGTATACTTGTAATGTGTCGTTGCTCGCCATTTAATTTCCAGTGGCGGATCCAGAGGAGGGGCCCGGGGGTCCCGGCCCCTCCCCCGTTATTTTTCGACCAAAATGAGGCCCATAGGGCCTAAAAAATTTTTTTTGGAGACTGGGCCCCCCTCTTATCTCAGAGTCTGGATGACCGCCCCCCCCCCCACCCCCTCCTTATCTGAAGGTCTGGATTCGCCACTGATTTTTCACAATAAAGTCTTTTTGTTGGTCAATTTTTGAGATGTAGCCGACGCATTTTATTTAAAAATTGATGAATCTAGTTATTCTATCAAAAAATAGTCGCACAGATGTTGCTTTGGAATCGCTGAGAACGAGAGTCAGCCGGGCGTGTTTACTTCAACATTTCCAGGAAAAAACCGCTCATGCGTTAAGCACGCCGCAAGTTCACCCGCTTTCCCACAAACGTTAAAGGACCAATCAGAAACACCTTTATTGTTTTGTATTGAAACCAATCAGTAACGGTCTTGCTCCAGGGTTTCTCAGAGCTCTTCCCTTCCGGGCCGTCATGCGCAGAAGAGCTCTGGGGTCGAGATTGAAAGAATGTTAGCTTGCACCTATGACAACCACGCAGCTGGACACATGTAAGCTTCAGGCAAGAAAACCGAATTTACTCAAAAGGCATCTCCCGCGGTTGTGATATCAGGTTAAAATGAAAGAAAGTCAAACGACCTAATTTAGCTTAAAACCATTGAGTAGACTTTTACTTCTACACCATAAGAAAACCACCTTACCATGAAGGATAATTTTCTCGCCTCGCCTTCTCACGCGCTCAGTCACACGCGTGCCCATTTTCTTCTCTCGCGCGTTTTGCACGACAGACTAAAAAAGAGGCTTCTCGTAGTCTAGGCCTTGATAACCAAAACTATACGTTGATCATACCGGGATGTTGACAAGTCGATATTTTGATTATCTCCAAAAATAGCAGGTTTTTTCTTAGTCAGGATTAAAGGCTTTACACTAATGTTTTCTTACCTAAAAACAGGTTATTTCATTAACTTTCATTAATTGATTCTGAGATATACCACAGAAAAACTATTCCTTGAAATACGACTTAAAATATTATTTACAACCGTATATTACCAGAGGTTTTTAAAGACATTCTGAGAAGACAAACTAAGTTAAAAAAACCCTTAATGCTTTATTCAGTTGTCAATACCTCGACGTAAATGAGTTGTATCCTAGGATTCCTTTTGTGCTTTTGGAGAGCAATGGTCTGGATGTTCGTTATCCGTTATCAGTGTCCGTTATGTCCGCTCTAATCTCGGATATTTTATTGCGGTGAGCACGAATTAAAGAACAGTGATGGAACTTTCTAGACACAAGAATTGATAGATAGGGTATTTCTGTACGAAATATTAGGAGTCATTTCACGAGGCCCTCTTACAAGGTCAAGTAAGAAATAAACTCTTCATTCTTCCACCTATACTGAAATTGGACGCTATTATTGAGAGTTCCTTGATGATTATAAAGTCATAAGATATGGCTTAACTATGCTAACCAAAAAGGTCGTTTCATAATTCACCCTTCGAGTTTTCCTCGAAAAGTTTTAAATTGTTTCCTTGGTACATTTAGCTCACCTTTTACTGAGCTTGAAGAGTAGACTCCCTCGAAGTTAAAAAATGCCACTTCATGATACCTTTTAAAGGTTACCATCATAAATTGACCACTTGTTTGTACGATGAATGGGCGTCTTGATCCACTAAAAATACCCAGCAAGGTATCGTTCTTACTTTTTCCATCAAAGACTTTAATCTCGGTCCTGAAGATCGTGAAATAATCAAAGAGATTAAATGTGGTAAAGGTCAACTTGACAGTATGGTTAGATGGTGCTGTAATAATCCACGTGCAATTGTACATGGAGTAGTTTTTGGTTATACTGGAGCTGATGACCCCATTGGAGCTACCTAAAGCGTAGAAGCATGGATTGGCGAGCAGATCTGAAAATAAGTACAAAAATTATAGAGATTATATTAGTAACACATAAATAAGCACTTTGCAAGATTGTAGCCACAAAGTTTACTATTATTGTTGAAAGAAATTGAAAAAAAAAAGTGTACTTTCACTCAAAAAGGGCTTGACCACCTGCTACTTATGACATCATGTATCGTAATTATAGAAACTGCTCATAAATGAACTTGTTTCAAAATGTGCGCGAGGGATAAACGAACAGCTACTGAAAACTTCAAGTGCTGAAGTTTTATCCTCTGGGAAAAAAACTCAGGAAAACCACAGAGGGTTAAAGTAGGGTCTTGGGAATTAGGCTTCAAGACCATTTGATTCACATGACGTCACGTCAGCCACACTGATGTAGCAAGGACCTCTAATGTAATGGTGTTTGTAATAGGGAGTGGCGTCACAAATATAATAATGGACGCAAGTATAACAAGGGCTAGGAAGAAAAGTTACAGTTGGTGAAAAGCGTGTTTAGGGTTTCAATTTAGGAGATGAATAAGAACTGAATTGTACGTAAGATCACGTTATGCCTCTGCAAATGAAGAGGTGAATGTCCTAAGGAAATACAACTTAAAAGTTTCTCGAAGATGATGCAGTTCTGTGCAAAAGAAATGACAGCAAACTTATTTCGGCGAACAAATTGCGAAATTTCGTTTCAGTTGAAAACGGGACGAAATTTCGGTGCATTTATTGTTCTAACCTCGTGAATGTTAGCAAACTAGGTGATGAATCAAAACGAATTTTCGCGACATCAGACGAAATTAATGGAAAATGGTATACAGACCATACACTTTTTTCTTTTTATGGTTGAAAATTTTTGTTAAATTCTATTTAATTGTATTTAAAGATTTTTTAATCAAAGGTTGTTTAAGTCTGGCTGCAGGTCGCTTTACTTTTCCTCAGGATTTACTAGTGTGAGATTCCATAGCCGTCTATAATACAATTAATCATAATTTTTGTAGAAAGATGAGTAAAAAATATTAGCGGAGCTCTCGCGCGCGAGGCGCGTTCAGCGGAGCACTATGGGTAAGAAAATGTGGTAATCTACCCATCCGAGAAAATTTGGTAGTCACGTGACCGTACACCGAGAGACCGTCCGTCCGCACCACAGGCATACCAATGTAAAATAACTCAACCAACAGGTATGGCAACCCAAATGAAACTCGAGGTTATTTTGGCGGGAAATCACATAGCCACCCGCGTTTTGTAAAACAGAGGCAGCTAAAGAGTCAATAAAGACGAAAACGGTGTTGTATAAAGTATTCAGCTTAGATTAATTGTCATGTCCTCAAATTTGGAATATTAGTCCATGGGCCCGACCAGATTTTCTTACCACTTCAGGGGAGAAAGAGTGACATGTATCAGTTTAAAGGCTAACTTAAGTTGTTTAAAATTTTTGATGATAGCAATTTTTAACGGGCAGCTTTATTATATTATTTTGGAAATTAAAAAGATGGAAAATAGCCCTCTATGAAAACCAGACCTTACAGAGAAAATAAAGTGTCAGAGAGGAAACGATAAACATTGAACCTTCTAAAACAAAGAAAGAGATGAAATATGTTTTTTTTTTATTCGTTGCTACCAATAAAGAATAAAAACAACATAAAAAAATTGTTTTATAGTGCTCTTACTTTCAGCTGCCTTTGTAATGCATTATGGGTAATTCAAGATGGCGGACAATCTCTCAGGTAAATGGTTGGTCAGGATTTCGATGCACAATATAACAATTTACAATATTATAATAATTGTCTTTGAAATACAGTTAGACAAAATTAAACAATGTTTGCAGTGGTGTTCGATAAAAAGTATGCAAAAACTAATTACCAGCCTTCGAGATGTGAACTAGATTTCAAAACTATTATTATAATGCATCAGTTAATTCGACCTGCCAGCTCCCCCCCCCCCCGGGGGGGCTGACCCCGGGGCATTGGCATTTTTTTTGCCTTGGATGGCAAATTCCCGGGGATGGGGACTTTTGCGCTGTCAAATTCCCCGGGGTGGGGACAAAAAAAGAGGGCAAATGCCCCGTCCTCCGTCAACACTGTAACATTTTTCATTGATCGCCCAGTCGAATAGTTCCATTTTAAGCATTTTAATGTGCGATTTTTTGTTTCAATTAACGTCTTCCTTTGTAATAGCCCTAGGATTCTAACGATTCTAACGACGACACGACGACATGCACCAGTTTATGGTTTTAGTGTTGATATCAAATTATTGACATTAAATTAATAGAACGCTGTAAAGTTATATGTTATGAATAGTCTTATAATCTCCAAATAATATCAACAGAAATTTGATTCAATAACCAAAACACGTTTATTCACATCAACAGCTCCAATTTCGCTATGTCATTTTGGCTTGATCAGCAATGAAGAAATGCATGCATAAAATCGAGAAAATGCCTTTACAACCGTCTTCAATTTATTCCTGTCCTTGACAGATGAGCCAATCCGCTTTTTTTCCAGTAAAACCCTCTGTGTAGTTATATTCTGATAGGAAACCGCGTGCGTATTTAAAAGCTTGGGAATGGCCCCGGGGTTGAAAAATGCGTGGCCGCCGGGCAGTGAAAAATTTGCAAATGCCCCACCCCCGGGACTGACGAGGCGGGCAAATGCCCCGCAGTAGCCGGGGGGGGAGGGGCTGGGCGCAGGTGGAATTGATTGATGTTAAGAAAGTCTTCACAAATATAGCCTTGTTATCTTAATTTTTTAGGAAATAAACATACGAGGATTATCAATACAGAATGAGATGGACCCCCTAAGAAACGTCTTTGTGTGGAAATGAGAAAGGACTGTTCAAACTTAATACATTGTACCAAAGATTATGGTGACTTATCATCAGTGCAAGACTTGCAGTCATAGAAAACGCTTGTAATGGCCGCCGAAATTCGGCAGTAAGCACCAATTTTAGATCTTGCCAAAGCAGTGATTGGAGAAGAACTTCCAACCATTACGTACCACCGTAAATGCCGCAATAAATTTACTTTGAAAAGAGATCTATACAACATACGTAAAGAGAGAATTCAAGGCAATGAACCAGAATTATCAGAAAGATGATCCTCTATTCGGGAACCCCCAACAAAAAGCACAACGTATAAACGAGTTTGCATTTTCTGTGACAAAGTTAGTAAGTACGCTAAAGGCAAAGATGTACGGGAGAAACTGATTCAAGGCATTGATCTGCGTGCAGACGAAAATATCAGAAAGACTGTGTTGGCGAAGAATGATAGCAAGTTATTAGCTATTGTGTCACGAGATTTGGTAGCAGCTGAGGCATGCTATCACGGAACTTGCTACAGAGAATAGGCGCATCCTCAACTTTATCATTTACATCTCAGGATGACGAATATGCTTGCACTGAGGCAGCATCGTATGAGAAGCTTTTCGATTACGTCAGGAATAACGTGCTGGTGACGCCTAACCTAATAAGGCTCACTGATCTAATACTCAAACGATGATCTCCTACATGAAAGATCTGGGCATTAAGGAAACTAAAGAGTCCTCCAAGACACATGTTCGCAGGAAACTTCAAGCAAGGTTTGGGAGTTTATTACAGTTTGAAGACCTGCTTGGTAACAACAGAGCCTTTATTATCCATGCCAATTTGTCACGACTTCAGTTGGCTAAAGAAGTAGCGCGATTACAGCATCTGCAGTGCGAAGGTCAAGCATCATTAATAGATGACATCCGACGAGTTGCTCTGGAACTTCGGAAAGCCATATGTTGCAAAGAAATCGAGATGTCGTGGCCTCCTAAGCCTTCCCAGCACACTGAAGAGGAAATAAATCTCCCTGATGAAGTTAGAGTGTTTCTAGCTACCTTTTTAACGGGAAAGTCAAAGTATCCAGAAGAAACATGCTCATCAAAAGTTCAGCGCCTTGTCAACTAGTTTGGGCAGGACATGGTATTCGGAGTGACTGCCGGCCGAAAGAGGCCTCCAAAACACATATAACTACCCTACGCTGTCAAGACCTTGACAAATAATATAGAACTAATTCAAATCTTGAATCGATGCAGACATGGGGTAGCCTACTCACAAATCGAAGAATTGAAATCAGCGTTGTGTCTTCAGAAAATGGCAATGACCCCGGAAAATGCCGTCCCGTTTCCTGACAACATCAAGCCTCACATCAGTACATGGCTTACTTGGGACAACATCGACAGATTAGAGGAAACACTCTCAGGTGGGGAGATGTTGCATAGAGTTAATGGCATTGCAATACAAGCTCGACAAATGTCTTCGAACGTCATGGTTCTAGGATTTGCAAACGTCTTCCTGGTGTACATGCTTTCCCTGGATGTGATAGTGTCAGCCCATTTTCTGGAAAGGGAAAACTGATGGCGTTAAAGTTAGGAAAGCGACGTCCTGCATACCAAGATTTATTCCAACACCTTGGCGTGGAATGGAAATTATCGGATGAGCTATTTGTGCGTCTTCAAGAGTTCACATGCGTGATCTACTCTTCAAATCCTGGAACTAATGTTAACTTGTTGGGTTACCGTCTCTTGTGCGCCGGGAAAGGAGAGTTAGAGTCGCACCAGCTTCCACCATGCCAGGACACGTTACGAAAGCATTGTGAGAGAGCAAACTATCGGTCAGCAATATGGCGCAGGACTCTTCAAAGTTCACACCAAATCCCATTGCCCATTGGCTCTGGATGGTACCTAAAGGATGGTAAATTGACTATTGACTGGATGAGTGGGGAACCGGCGCCCAAGGCTGTATTTGAGCTCCTATCCGGCCAGTGTAAGAGAGTCTACCAGTTGCCAAGCTGTACCTGTCTCGCTAACGGATTGCATTGCAATGACATGTGTCGGTTACAGGAGTGTACAAACCAGCCAGAGGAAGCTACAGAGGATTTAACTGCAGGTGATGTTGAATGTGAAGATGATTAAGCTGTAGTACTCTAAAGGTTCTCGCAGTGCCTTGGCATAATCTCCTAGTGTTGTAGGGTCGTGGGCAAAGTTATTTGCAAAATACCAGACAGGAAAGTAAAAATGGTCATTAGGTGTTGAAGTTTCTAACAATGTTACCGCGTGTCACTAAATAGACTAAAGCTCAAGCACTAGTCTGCTGCTCTTGTAATGTTTATTTCGATGGAAATGCGACTAAACCGTTGATTATTTAACACAAATGTTCGATACAAAGTGTACATTGACACATTAAAGCAAGTAGCTGACGATGTTTCCTGAAGGAGTTCAACATTCCTATGTATGAAAACACTTTTAGCCCATGCGAATGTTGCTATGGCAACCAAGGTATATTAATTCTCGTTAATTTTCTTAGTCAAATGTTATCATAATGCAATTTCGCATTTAAATCAACAGTAGAGCACAAAATATGCATGAAACCACTCTGTTCTCATCAACCACTTTTAGATAGTTAGCTCATATTTTGTCAGTGATTACGTCACTTAATCACGTGATTTTGATATTTAAGCTGGCCATATATCGTTGCTATCATATATCAAACTAAAGTATAGGAATTGAGGTTTAAGAAAATGTATGATAGCACTGCTCCCTTTAAGTGGTAAGAAATTTCAAAATTTTAGNGTTCGATACAAAGTGTACATTGACACATTAAAGCAAGTAGCTGACGATGTTTCCTGAAGGAGTTCAACATTCCTATGTATGAAAACACTTTTAGCCCATGCGAATGTTGCTATGGCAACCAAGGTATATTAATTCTCGTTAATTTTCTTAGTCAAATGTTATCATAATGCAATTTCGCATTTAAATCAACAGTAGAGCACAAAATATGCATGAAACCACTCTGTTCTCATCAACCACTTTTAGATAGTTAGCTCATATTTTGTCAGTGATTACGTCACTTAATCACGTGATTTTGATATTTAAGCTGGCCATATATCGTTGCTATCATATATCAAACTAAAGTATAGGAATTGAGGTTTAAGAAAATGTATGATAGCACTGCTCCCTTTAAGTGGT